TTCGAGAGAACAAGGACTGAAAAAGGCAAAAAAATAGATCTCGATTTGAGGGGAGTAAAGGCCAAAACAATGAAAGAGCCTCCGGTGAAAATGAATTGAAAACGAAGACTGCGACTGATAAATTTTCTTTCTCGACAGGGAATTTTTTTGGCGATATTTGATAGATAAATTTTCTGCTGCTGTTTGTAGATATTGCGTATCTCTATCTTTGCAAGCTTTAAAATAGAAAGAATATAGTGTTTATTTCCTTCCTTAGCATTAAGTGGTCAAAATGTAAATCTCAGATATTATTTATGGCTTAGTGCAAGAATATTGATGACCTTTTTTGATGAATTATAAAATAGAATAATGCAAATATAGTTCAGTATTAAAATATAAGTGTACAAAAATACATGAAATACAAAGGAGTATAATAATAGTACGTATAATTGTTCTTAGGTGTCCTTTTCTGCATTCTGCACTTCTTTGTCGTAAGTGGCCTTTGTTATGCAACACATAAAACAGTCACATGCAAGTTTTCTTAGGTAATCATAAATACGTACATAATGCAGTGTCTATGTGGGAGATAGAAATGAAATTACAAGGTATTTCTCCCGCCTTCTTGGCATGCCTTCGTGGTGTAATGGTCAGCACACTCGGCGCGTATTCGAGACGTCAGTGGTTCGCGTTCCGGCGATGGCATTGCTCATTTTTCACGTCTCCGGCATTAAAATACCCTAATGTCGCTACGAAATATACGAAGCTTCTTGATTTAGGACGGCATATTTTAGTTACATTTACACGTGCCGCAATAACATAAAACAATAAGCACAAAAGTTAAATTTTTACAATAAAATAAGATTGATGTCGTCTTGCACTCAGTACATTATCTTTTTCCCAGCGTCTTTATGGTTTTCGTCATTATTACCGTCATCACGTAAGTCTAAATCGAGCTCATCGTTTTCATCAGAAATATAATTCATAATCAACCATTCATGTAAACTGGCAAAACGGGACTACTTAACTGGCTGTTTTATTATGCAAGCTTCTCAAAATGGTGTTTATGTCTTCTTTTCGTTTTTTAGCCCAAAAGGCGTTAGCCCACAAGGGCTATTAATTTCGTTCTGGGATTTTGCGTTAAAAACTTTAAATGTCGGTTCACTTTTCAAACTGTTGCCACCAAATATTACGATACACAGAGACTGTGTATCGTAACTTCTAAAGATATGCTTATTTTTAAAATTATTTTACGATGTTGCTGTCAAAATGAGTTTTATGGTTTATACGCGAAGAACATGATATTTAATAAATAAAGGTAACCCACAAAATGTTAAAAAAACACCCCTTTGGGCATACTTTTAAATTTTTATTTATTTATTTAAGAATTTTGAATATTTGTAGTTGCCAATTTCAAATTTTCAAGCAGTTATTCTATTAAAAACTACAGTGTTGACATTTAGTGGCAGAAGATTAGCTAAGTATTTTATTATTTCGCAAATCAGCAATTATAATGATAATTTTTCTGCGAAAACTTCCACTTCTTTTATTCTTATCATATCTCGTGTGTGTGTGTGTATTTAATTATGGCAAAGCACACTAGGGCTATCTGCCTAAGGGGAGGGATGCCTTCGTGGAGGACTTTCTAAGGGAAACTGGCTCGTATACACGTTACACATGGGGAAAACCACGAAAACACCCATGCAGCCAGCCCGTTCGCGGGATTCGAACCTCGGATTGAACTACCAGTGTTCAGCGACTTTACCGCTCGGCCGCTGGTGGGCCCTATCATATCTCGTCTTTTACTTTAAAGTCCGACTGACTTCTCCAGAGAAAACACATCTCACCAGGTATAGACCAGGGCCATCTTGTGTTCGATGTAGGCACTATCCAGACACGCACATACTCACATATATATATATATATATAAACTGTAAACAAATAATGAATGGGTTTCTGGGAAGAAAGAATCACATTATATAAATACATTTTGGAATCATTTTTATGAGAAATAAATCTAAATAAATCTAAATATGATATAAATTCTTCTATATTCTGTAAAATAACGAACCTAAAAGAAAGGTACAATTCTGCCTCTTTTTTTTCGACAGCAGTTAAACCTACTTTTATGCGGTAGATAGGGACAGCATAAGAGAAAACGCCTGAAACAAATAATAAGAAATTTCATAAATTCATATAACAAATATTTTTTGCAACATATTAGAGAAAATGTTTTTTATGTGGTGTAGAGGGACCGTATAAAAAACTGCACTCAGAAAATATGTCGGAGATTTACGAAATAGTGAGAAGGTCTTTCAAACAAAATAAATATTTAAGTTACACATGGAAACAATTTTTAAAGAATTAATTTCTCATTTTATACATAGAGTTCACATAATTCATTGCTACTCGTCATAGTCCAAAACTTGCAACTTCTTGTGATGAGCTGGTTCGAAATCCCTTTCGTCATTTGAATATATTATAATTGATTTGTCTTTTGTTACCATAAAGTCAGTGATAAGTTTTTGTGACGATGGTCATTTGATCAGCTGTTTTTAAATGTCACGATACCTGCTTTCGCTTTTTGCACAATTAATAGATTCATTTATTTTACTCGTAAGATTTTGTACGGCAGTGGATTCACCTAATTTAAATTCGTTAGCAACAGCTGTGGATTCTTTACGATCTGTCCAGTATATTCAATATTTCTATTTTAGTTTCTAGTGCAATTGTGTTCCTTTTTCACATTTTCTTGGCTATAGTTATTTTAAAGGGGGCACTTATGCCTAAAAGTAAAACAAAAAGATCATGAAAACTACATCTAAATATAAATTACCTTTAATATCATTATAAGATGACTTCTTAATCTCGGAAGTCATAGAAAAATCTCTGAACACGAAATGTCTGCTGCCAGTGCTTCGAACAAAAACGATTGCCACCCAAACGGGATAGTGGTTAGCGACGCTCACTGCTCTACCGAAAGGCCTGGGTTCGAATCTTGGAGAAGGCATGGATGCTTGTAAATGTACAGTGCCATGTCTGAGAGATCCTCGGCTCAGGCAAACTCGACGAGTTTTCGCTGTTCGGGTCCCCGCGTTATGACGCTATCCCGGCGTAAATGTTTTTCGATTTTCGAATCTGTGAGGTTTCGAATACTTATTGAAAGATTCGAAGACTCAAATTGGAGTTCATAACAATAATTTCTGGGGAGGAACGATGTATGAGTCCGAGGAAAATACCCCAGTAACTGCAGGCCTTGACGAAGGTAGCACGCATGGCAATGGCATATATGGATAAAAAGAAATTGCCTATTCTCACTGAATTTTAGAGTTCAAGTGGTGACCAGAAGTTTACATAAATGAATATTAAAATATACAGTAATAGGAAATAATAAAATATACAAAAGAAAATATATACAATATATACATCAGACAGCCTCCAAAAAACAAAGCACAGAAAAGTAGGGAGAGTGTACATAAATAAGTTATACATTACATTATGGTAAATATCTTAAGACCGCAAGCGGCCGTTTACTATTTGTTTCATTTGTAAAGTCGTACTGTAGAACAGGTATTGTGCTATTGTTGATACTGGGAATAGTATTGAAGAATTTCTCAGCCAGTAAGCAAAGTAAGTATAAATTGTAGGAATTTCTAATTCCTCGTGTATTGCCGTGTTCCTAATGATCCAGCGGCAGTTAGTGGCTTGTCTGAGTGTCGGTTCTGAGAGACCCTTCCCTCTTCGAGGTGCTGTCCATTGACATTGGGGAGGGGCAGGCGAAACTGAGCAAAGTCGTTCTGTCACCTGTATAATGTTCAAGGATCCTGCCATGACAGGTGCAATCCTGGACTCCTTGCCACGAATTCCGTGGGCATGTCCTGATGTTACTATCAGACAAGTGAGGTAAGTCACAACAATACAAAAACGATTGAAAGTGCATTATCGGGAAACTGTTGATAACAAATGAACATAACGCCTATAGACGAACAGCAATTTACAGTGTACATATGTGAGGTGAAGAAAACATTGCAACGGGTTTATAATGCCAACACCGTTGAAATTCATATATCTCATAACACACAAAAAAGTGACACAAAGCACAAACAAATCACATAGAAAAGGACTGCACAAAACTGAGTTTGTCTGTATTACTAAAATATTTATAAATTAATCATTTTTCATGAGGTGGTATCTAACTACACTGCTCACTTATTTTCACCCTTAATATGACAGCTTAATTTAGTAAGAGAAAAACGCCAATATTAGCAAGTTATAATAATAAGTATTGATGAAGCCTTTCCAACTGGCCAAAAACGTTGAAACTAATTGTTCTGAAGTATGTGAAGAAAAATTTCGGATTTCGATAAGAATAACTAAAGTACTTCTCCTTTGAGATTGTGTAAGCGAATTTCTAAATAGAATAATATTTCCTAGGTAGCCTGAGAAACTACATCGAAATTAATGACTAAACTAATTTGAAAGAAACAAGACACCGGAACAGTGCGCAGCCTGTAACTTACAACCAATTCTATAAAAATGCAACACGTGCTGTGTTAATCAGTGTCTGAAGAGTAAAAACGCTTTTCAGATAAACTAATACAAATTTATTTGCTCTATGTACGATAGTATTGACTATTAAAGATTATTCAGCTGGGTAATGGCAAAAATTGTAAAAATACAAAAAATCTATAATATTTTGCTCTAAATTTAATATTTTTAGAAACGGTTTCAAGTACTGCACGTGGCAACCCTTTACCACCGTTTCCTACCGGACCGTTTAAATTCGGATGCTCTGATTGGCTGATTTCGATTCGTCAATCAGTGCCTTCTCCGGTACATGGGCCGTAAACTCACGTGTATCAAAACAAGGTTATGTTTGAATTTTTGTTACCTATTTTATTTGGCAATAGCTTTTATTACCTATTATTAATAGCAACTTCATATTGGTAAGTAATACAAAGACATTTTCTTACTAATCATTAATAAACAAACTCTTTTTATTAAAACTTTCAACCTTTTTTAAAATGGATAAATGGCTAATCAAGAAAACCACAGATTTAAACGATGATGATCAACCAAGCACGAGCAAAGCTGAACATCATGATCATGCAGAAACTGTGCCTGAAGCACCTAAAGCAAATATACAGCGCCAAAATAACAAGCGTAAAGCTACTTGGACTATCAACTATTGTGACGAATATTTACGCTTTGGGTTCATTGCCAGGGGCAGTCAAAATAATTTGCTGCTATGTGTTATTTGCAATGAGCAACTTTCAAATGAAAGTATGAGACCGCCAAAGTTGAAACGGCATTTAAACATACTCCATTCTGAGTACTCTGATGAGTCAAATAACTTTTTTACTGATAAGAAAAAGGAACTGATTGCTGCTCAAAAAAATGAAAAATACATTCTTTCTTCACCAGTCAAATAAAAACCTCACTTTGACATGTTTTAAATTTCCAAATTAATAGCTGAAGCTGGGTATCCATAGTGCTGGAGAAAATTTAATACTTCCCGCTTTGAATTTTGTCGCAAATAATTTATGCGGAATAAAGGAAAAATGTTTATTTTCCGGCGATACCATTTTCAAATAATACAGTTAAACGGAGAATTGATGATTGCGCGAAACATTTAGAAGAAGAATTAGTTGCTCAAGTAAAAAAGAGCAAGTTTTTTTTCCTTGCAAATAAGATGAAAGCACAGATATCGAGGATAATGCAAATCTAATGTGTTTTATCAGATATATTGACGAGGACACCGTACAAGAAAATTTTTTGTTTTGTAAAAGGCAACCGATAAGAACGACCTCAGATGAAATTTTTAAAGCTACCAATGCTTTTGTCACTAGTTACGGTATTGATTGGATGAAATGTGTTGGGCTAAGTAACGACGGAGCACCTGCAATGGCAAGCTGTCATAAGGGTTTGTTTAAACAAATTCAAGAATTAGCAATTAATTGTGTATATGTGCACTGTACTATCCATAAACAAGCGTTGGCGGTAAAACGGATGCCTTTAAATTTAAACATGACTTTGGAAGAATGTGTCAATTTTGTAAATTAGATAAAGTCTCGTTCAGTAAATAGCAGACTTTTAGGCAAGGAAATGGGGAGTGATCATAAACACCTCCTTTTGTATTGTAATTCACGATGGCTTTCAAAAGGAAACGTTAAAACGTCTGTTTGAGCTAAAAGACGAAGGCTTGATATTTCTGAGTGAACACCCACCATCTAAAAAAGATGCTATTTTTCCATTTAAAGGATAGATTCCACGATTTCGAGTGGTTAATAAAAGTAGCTTATTTCTGCGACATATTTGCTACATTCAATGAATTGAATTTAAATTTGCAAGGCTTTGGCTTAAATATTTTCGGTAAGTATCGGAAAAAGTCGCTGCAACAATTAAAAAAATTACTGTGTGGAAACAACGACTTTCAAAAGAAAATTTTAAATCTTTTGAAATATTACATAAATTTATTGAAACTCATTCAAACTATGATGCAGATTTACATCTTGAAACACTATCAGTTTCAATTTAAGAACATCTTTCGAAGCTAATAAATAGTTTTAAAGACTACTTTCCGGATATTCCTTCAAATAATATGTGGATTAAAGATCATTTTTCTGTCGATATTGAAAAGGAAGAAATGCTTAATCTTAGTGAATAAGAAGTTGATAATTTAATTGAAATTTCATGCGACACCAATCTTAAAAAAGTGTTTGAAACTGTACCACTAATTAATTTTTGGTTGCGCTGCCAAAAGGAATATCCAAGCGTAAGCGAAAAAACGATACAATTTTTAATGCCTTTTGTCATCACTTATACGTGTGAAACTGCGTTCTCAGTCTTGGTGGACTTAAAAAATAAGTATCGAAACAGATTAGATGTCAAACCTAATTTAAGAATAAAATTAACATCATTAAGTCCTAATTTGAAATTACTATGTGATGAAAAACATCATCATCCTTCGCACTAAGGTCAAAATATGTAAAACAAAATTTACTTTATTTACTTTAAGTTTTAAATGAAGATAATGATTGTCTTTAATTACTTATGTTTTTATTTTTATTAAAAAATGAAATTTGTTTTGTAAATAAATGTTTTTTCTATAAGATGGGTCGCGAAAAAATTTAAAATCTCGTACCGGGCCGTGGTCAAAAAAGTTTAGGAAACGCTGACCTAGCTCATTTAAGTCACAAAGTGGGTCATCGTCGGCTCACAGTTACAGGACTTACGGTCTAAAGAGCGCAATTCAACTTCAGCCAGCAAAATGGCTAACGCCGGCTAATTATTAGCATGCAATGCAAAGCGAGAAGAAAGTGTAAGTGCGAGCTTCGCTGCCAAAACATCTACGTCTAAAATGTTCATAAACTATGAATTAATTGTGCTTAAATCATTTACACCCCAGTGACAGCTAATGAAAAGGAGAAGTGATGGTATACAGTTAAATTATGGGTTAATTAATACAATCTCTGCAGTTGAAGTAATATATAAGACCTATGCAAAATTAATGCTATTTTTATAGCCCGGTAAAAATTAAGACATTTTCTCTCAACTATTAAATATTAATATTGGAGATCAAATAAATTATCAAATAAAACATTCCTAAGAAAACCTAATTGCAAGTTCCGAATGGCATTCATTATCTATTGTCGTTTACATAGTAGCTTATCTGAAAAAGGAAGAATATATTTCATTTGGATATATTAAGTAGATAAAATAGTATTTAATAATTTTACTTATTTTATTCAATAGTAAAAGAATGAAGCTGGCTACATATTTCTTTCACATCAAGTAATAAATATTTAAGCATCTAGAATTATATAAGCAATGATTACTGAGGAAACTAGTATTTGAAAGCGGTAGAGATGTATTTGTAAAGACGTAATGCAATGGATTTCATAGTTTTAACATAGCCGGAAGATTAATTGCTTAGTGAAAGTTAATATAATTTCTTCAGAAGAATAGATATGTAACGGATTTAAACTTAAAATAAGAATACTACGTTGTTGAATTCTGTGATCGATGACTTAGTTAACTTCAACAAGCAGAATCCAGGGATTGTCCATTTTGTAGAAACAAGACAAATGAAATATAGATAAAGAAAAATAATACTCAAAAACATTCGAAAAGCCTCTTTTTTTACTTAGTATTTTTCTGTTATGTGTTTGACAATGATGAATTATCCCGCATTGTGAGAAAACTCATTTGTTGGAAACGAAGATTTTAGAAGATTTAAGAAAGAATAATGCGAGTTACAAGGAGAAATTTTCATTATACATTCTGTAGCATAATTATTAGCTGAAAATAAAAATATTCTATTACTTTTAAGCTTTCTCTTTTACCTTGTGATCACTTGGAATTTTTGAAACGAAAAGGGGAAGGTAATAATTATGCTTATGGGTGGAAATAAATCGGTTCAGATCAAAATATTGCTTCTCTTATTAATTATTAAATATATTTTCAATCATCTGACAAGTATAATAATCTTATTATTGTTTATGTAATGGGATTTTTTTAAAAGCGCACTACGGCATTATAGCATACAGATCCTGCAGTTTTCAGAAAAACTACTTTTCAGAAATATATTTTCAGATTACAATAACAGATATTCACACCACTAACTATTTGCTGTGTAGCAGAGTATGTTTATAGTAACTTACGAGATAGCATAATTATCAGTCTTAACATAATCCATTGCAAGAGAAATATATTATAAAGGACATGGTAAAAATTATCTTCTTTCATGAGATTATTTGCGAAATGTTTGTATCGAATGATTTTTATAAGGTATAGAAATTACAGATATTAAATAATTACTTAAGTTGAATTTAATACTTGAAATTTGTTATGTAATACTTAACATTTTTTATATAATATGTGAAATCTCAAATTTCGAAACAAAATCCCTTTGAGCTATCTGTATAGTGAAATAACTGCATTCAATTATTAATATGTGGTGTGGTGTGGTGTATTTAATTATGGCAAAGCACACTAGGGCTATCTGCCTAAGGGGAGGGGTGCCTTTCGTGGAGGACTTTCTAAGGGAAACTGGCTCGTATACACGTTACACATGGGGAAAACCACGGAAACGCCCATGCAGCCAGCCCGTTCGCGGGATTCGAACCTCGGACCGAACTACCAGTGTTCAGCGTCTTTACCGCTCGGCCGCTGGTGGGCCAATTATTAATATGAAAAAAATAATATGAAAAAAGGTCTTGTACAGTCATTAGAATTTATTGAAGCAGGACTACATGAAAAATGAGCAATGCTACCTGATTTTTAAAGTCTCGACTTCTCCAGAGAAATTGGAATCTCTCCATACAGCCATCAACAATTTTCCTAGGATTTCCTAGGGCTTAATTTCGTTTATTTTATCTATTAGTGTATTGAATTTAATATATTTACAATTTATCTATGCCATAAAGTAAAATCCTGAGCAGTATTATCTTTGCAATTGCGCAGGATTTTACTTTATGGTTCTCCTGCATAAACTTTGAAAAACATTTCTAAAGTTTTTGCTATATATAGTTAAAGCAGCAAGCTCAAAAACGAGTATAATCACAATTTTCAGTATTCAGTATGTAGTATCACAAATTTTTGTTTTAAAACAAATTATTCGAATATCACGTCTACGCAAATGCTGCTGAAAATTAATCAATTATAGACAAAAAGAAAGAAATTTAGAAACAAATTCACAAACGCATGAAAGAAATTCAAAACCAATGAATCTAAAATTCCCCGTAAATATGTAAAAATGAACCAATAGTCATAAAACTATTAAAAATACAGCGAACGGAAATTCAAAAATAACAAAAATATGTAGGCAATGGAATGCAATTAACATATGATTCAACGTTATCAAGAGGTGGTGGATCAAACATAGTTGAATCTCTTTTCCCTTGGAAAGTCACTAGACGTCCAATGAAGGAATAGAGTTAGACATATTTTGCTAGAATAAAATAAACGGAAAAACTAACAAAGAATCAGAAGCACCACAACCTTCCATTTTGCTGAAGTCAAAACAAAAGATCGCCCACCAGCGGCCGAGCGGTAAAGTCGCTGAACACTGGTAATTCGGTCCGAGGTTCAAATCCCGCGAACGGGCTGGCTGCAGGGGTGTTTTCGTGGTTTTCCCATGTGTAACGTGTATACGAGCCAGTTTCCCTTAGAAAGTCCTCCACGAAAGGCATCCCTCCTCTTAGGCAGATAGCCCTAGTGTGCTTTGCCATAATTAAATACACCAAACTCCAAACACCAAAACAAAAGATCGAGATTCAAAAGTAAACGCCAATATTTGCCAGTTTGTCGTCGTTGGCGAAACAAATTGATAATGACAAGATGAATGTTGAATAAAAAGCAAGTAATTTGTACTTGTTTTAAAATATTTTGTAAAGTAACTAATAAGAAAAAAGGAAAAAGAAGTAAATTT